CCTCGGTCTTTACTTCTGTTCTCCTCATTCAACATGCTCTCCTTCACCAATTTCAAAGTGGGTACATCATTTGGAGAAGAGTTTACAAGAGAAACCACAAAGGTATCCCAACTGTCAAGCAAAGAGCTAATCAAACACATAGCATGAATCTCTTCGTCTAACTTTACCTCCATGGCAGTCAACTAGTTCAATATACCTTGAAAGACATTCAAGTGCTCAGAACTGGAAATTTGCCCAAAACCGTTGATTTTGGTCAACAAACTGTTGACCTGGGCGGTTTACCATTCAAAAATATTTTGACCATTCTTTTTAATTTTTTATTTTTATTTTTTTATTTCTTTGTCAGAACAGACTGATCATTCGGTTTGAACAGTCGAACCATTCAACCCGGTAACTGGACCCCTGACCGATTCAGTCTCCGGTCATTTTTAAAAACCATACTTTCACCTCCTTTTCTATCACGTGAAGTGGCTTGTGTGCGTTTATGCATTTGTGTGAATCTGATCAATCACTATGCTCCATAGTGATGAGAAACAGTCAAAGTAGTAGCTTTTATGCTGAGAACCGACACGGGTGTTTGATCCTGTAGAAAGAGAAATAAGATTACAGACTTACAGGTAAATTCCCATTTAATTAGATGCTTAGAAATTAGGATCATGACAACGGAAATGGTTAAACTGGATTCTTTTTTTAGTGAATCAGTGGTTGTAAGGTGAAGCTGAAATTGAGTTGATTACTACACTTTAGATATATGGTTGTTTTATTTGAACTGAATAAGAATTGGCTACATGTTTGGAGGAGAACATTTGCTGAAATTTGTTGAATTAGGCTCTGTTTGGAAAGAGTACAAATATTATAATACAAATTTTAAGGTTTTGTACTCTACATAATTATATTTATATTCCTTCCAAACTGAGCTTTACATGCAAATTGTGTCGCATAAGGCTTCCAAAGGATTGCATAGAATCAACTACAAGATAGATCCAAAATGGTTTCATCTATATTTGGTTCAAATATAATTGCAGCTGTTTTTACCCTTCATAAGGATAGCCACATTTAGATCTTGAGTGAGGGATCCGTTTCTAACTGTGTCAATTTTGGAACCTTCCAAATATTATTGACTAAGATGTAGTCAAATAAATAGGTCGGTCCATTTTGGGATTTATTACAGAAACCGAAATATCGGAATATTGTCGTTAATGACAGTTGCAGAAATCCCTATATGAAAACAAGAGAAGGAAAACCACTGTGCGATCACAGAGGGTCCACGTCTTCACTGTTGGATCCTTTTTATCTTGCCAAATTCAGAGTCCACCGTGGAAATCTTCAGAATTGGTCATCAATAAATATCTGAACGGATATTTAAGGATGCGATTGTAGGTCCCACCGAGACATTTTTTATTTTTTTCGGTAGAAAACCAGAAACATACAGGATGACAGGAAACAAAACAAAACTACAGAGAACCAAAAAATAAAACTAATCGTCAGGAACAGGGGAGTCCTGATCAGGAACACCTCTAAAACTTGGGGAAGCCAGGAGGGGATCTCCATTTAGCTACCAAACTAGTCTTACCTTTGGCAGCAAACACATAGCTGTCAAAACTCTGCTGCGATCAACATGCGGAAACACCACGTTTGTCCCTGCAAAGCTGTAAATATCCTGTAACAGAGGCTAAGTCTCTAGAGCAAAAGAAAAGGACTTAACAGATAGATTTCTGACCACATTCACAGTGTCACATTCAAATTTGATAAACACAAGACCCAGTCTTTTGGTTGCCAAACAGCATTCTCTAATTGCAAAAAACTCTGCAAATTCAGCTGAAACAACCTTACACACACCACAAAAGGCTAACAAAACAGAACCAGAACTGGTCTTTAACACAAAACCAAAGCCACTTGAATTTTCAAAGAAGCTGTCATTCGTTGTTGCCACACAAAAACCAGAGAAATTTAGCTTCACGAGGGAGGATTCCTGTCTTGAAGGAGAATCAATTGGGGAACAGTTTGTTGATTCTCGAAGGGAAGCTTTCCTCACTGCCACCATCAACCTGTTAGCATAAAAGGAGGTAAGCATTGGGTTAGGATTTACACCGTTAAAACAGCAAATTATTTCTTGCTTTCAAGATGAACCAGATTAAGTAGACTGGAGACACAATAGCTTGCATTCCAACCTCCCCTGTGGGAAGGTTCTGAGAAAGCCATAGTGACCACCAATCTGCAAAAGAGTTTCAAACACTCCCACCCAAGGCTGCGAAGTTAAAGAAGCAAACTAGGAAGCTCTGGCATGATCACAAAGTTGAACCGCGTGAATAGTAGATTCGGTACTACTCTCACGGACTGGGCACAGATCATTCTCCCCAATCCCTCTTCTCCGAAGGGCCTCCAACTGCTAAACTATTTTGACAGCATCTCCACAAGAAAAGTTTCAATTTTGGAGGAATCTTTAACCTCCATGTTGCTTTACAAAGTTTTGGGGACAAAGGCCCTTGAACATTCCCAGAATCTACTGAGAATATCAGATTTCTGGCGAGTTCAAATCAGCCCCCACAATGTCCCACAACACATCCCCGCCGTATTTTGAGAATATCTCCTGATGATAACATCATCACTTTTAAGATTATCATCAAAGATGTTCCCAATACACTGCAGGAATATACTGTAAGACGTTGTCGGGGGCTGATTCGGTCTCATTTCTGGCTACATGAAAGGCAGACTTAACTGAGAATCGACCCTTGGGATCAGCCACCCATATTAGATTGTTTGCGCCTCCTGATCTGAGGAGACTTGATCTGCTCCTCCCACTGGCGCCTCATATGCACATTCTACTACGCATTGGGAACATCTCCCATACTTATTTGTTATTATTCGCGGGAAATGTTCTCAATGCACGGTGAATGTACGCGCCCATTTATGAGGAGCAGATCCCGTCACTGATCTAAGGAGTGAGAGAAGCTGTTCTCGAATTCTCAGAAACTTTGGAATCATCCCATCTGTGAGTCTAAGGGTCAAGATCAAACACTCAATTCACCTGATTTGGGTTTGGCTTTGGCTCCATTGGTTTAAAACCCGGAAGATTCAGGATCCACGAGTCATCCCATATATTAATGTTAGTCCCATCACCAACAGTCCAACATGCTCCCTCTTTTAACACATCATTTCAGACAATTCTTCAACACTAACAACCGATCTTATATAATTTGATATCTATCTCAACTAATTATACGTACTGGGGCCCAAAAATGTCGCGCTTGATCAAGACCGGATGTGAACTCATAAATTTTCAGTGAGTCAACCGAATAGACGGTGAGATCGTACTGGCGGAGCTTAATCTCTGTAGTCTTCATACGGGAAAAGATAAGGTCAGAAACTGAGAATGATTGTCCTTTCTTACCCGTACAACGGAAAGGTCGACGCCGCAGTGTGGTCCTACATCTTCCGTCCAGTGCCGTTAGCTGACGTAATTAATTAATACGACCTGTCGACCTTGTCTCAGTTTCGAGTCCGGATCTTCATGGCTACAAAGAAAACGATAATACCCTTCTCAACTGTGCACACAGAACTCGGCATTCTCATGGACATTTTCGTCTTTCCAAGTCATGAACGAGGCTCAAAGAACACCCTTGACACAGATCATACGAATATGGCTCCACATAATACATCAATCTACACCGTTCACATGGTATCAGGGTTGGACAGGGGTAAATGTAAAATGTAACATGGAAGGCGTGGGTTGGTGAAATAGTAATAAAATAATTAACTAGGTGGGCCATGGACCATGGCCCATTGTTCAAGTTCAACAAATTGATCCCTTCGCCTCAGAATATCCAAATCGACTAATCGGAATCAGAAGCAACCCTTTGGACAAAAAGATAAAGCCCAGAATAGCACAGCTCCCGAGGCCCAAAAGCTGATGGAACGGACCGGGGGAGTAGAGTTGAGTTTACGATGACCGTTTTGGTTTGGTTTCTGGTTCAGGACTCTGGTAGTCCTTTTACCTCTCCGCACGAGGCCCAAGCTGCTCAGCGGGAGGGGCGCCACTAAACTTCTTCAAGGACAAAATTACCCTGAATTATTGACAGTTGACGTCTTAGCATAGGTTTTGCCGTTGGAGGTCGGCTCTTAACCCTTGGGAGTTCCACAAGACTTGAGACACCGTGGGATATCAAAGATCAAGGGATGACGTCGTCCTTCTGAAGTTTCAACATCCCATTCTTTGTCTTTGTTCAAAATCTCGTCGATAGGCATGAACCCACCAATTACACTCTAAAAATTACGAGAATGCCATGAGGTAGAATATGATACCATACTTCAGCAACCATAGTTTTAAAAGATTGAGTCGACAGTTTTACAACTAACAAGCAAGTGATGGTGGATAGACGGTTTGGCTTGGCCAATTAATTACTGTAGGGCTGTCTATTTTTTTTCTGTGAATTTCACGAATCAGGATTCAGAAAACAACTGCTGAGATCTAATTACGAAAATACCCCTAATGGGGAATTGGTTTCCTAGACAATCATACATGATACAACCAATATAATGATATATGGGCATTTCCGTCCGAAAGCAATCTCACAACACCGGCGTTCTTAACTTCTTCCCCTCGCAGAATGTGATTGATAACCTACACACACTTCCCATACCCATGAGCTAGCGCAATCCGTCTGGAAAGGAATGCGGGACCCGCAGGAACCCAAATTATTTGTTTATTGGTATCGACGCCATAAACACCGTAGTAATAGAACCTTGCAACCATATGATGCGGGGACTGTCGAAGATTCCGATCGGATGGTGCGGAAGTCGTGCTTAAATGAGCAAGGGCTCTGAGAGGTACTTCAATAATGGAGAGAGCAAACAATTAGGCCCATCATACGTGGGACCCACGTCGGCAAAGACAAGTGACAGCTATGCTTTGCAGATCGCATTTAAACTTAAAAAAGATTTTAAATGGCTAAGGACGACCCACGTGTCTCCCGTGGATTCGTCAAGGACTTGATTACTCTCTTCTCTCTATCTCTCTCTCTTCGGAAGACGAAGAGCAAACTGAAAGTCCGAGAGAGAGAGAGAGAGAGAGAGAGAGGAAGAAGAAGAAGAAGAGAGAGATGGCCATCGACGAAGAAAGCGGCAAGGGATACCCGGCGAGTTGGAGCTTGTCGGCAAAGCCCTGTGATTCGTGCAAATCGGCGTCGGCCCTACTGTTCTGCCGGGCAGACTCGGCGTTCCTCTGCTTCAACTGCGACGCCAAGGTTCATGGCGCGAACAAGCTCGCCTCCCGGCACGAGCGGGTCTGGATGTGCGAGGTCTGTGAGCATGCCCCGGCCAGTGTCACCTGTAAGGCTGACGCCGCTGTCCTCTGCGTCACTTGCGACCGAGACATCCACTCGGCAAACCCACTCGCCCGTCGGCACGAGCGAATTCCAGTCGTTCCGTTCTACGAATCGGCTGCCTCCGCCATGAAATCCAACGTAGCCAACCTCCTCGTTCCTGATGGTCTCCTCAAGTCCTCGGACGAAGATGACGATCGTAACGACAAAGAGGAAGACAACGACACCTGCCGCGAGGAGGCCGAAGCTGCTTCTTGGTTACTTCCAAACCCAAACCCTCCCAAACTCATGGAAACACCCGATCTGAAGTCAGGCGACTATTTCTTCTCCGACGTGGATCCTTATCTCGATCTCGACTACGGGTCGTCCATGGAGACGAGGTATCACCACCAGAACAGCGCCAATGCTGATAGTGTAGTTCCTGTGCATACGAAACCCCCTCCGCCACCACTGATGAACACCTCCGATCGCTGCTTCGACATGGGTTTCTGCCGATCCAAGCCTTCTTACGGTTACACCACTCCAACACTTAGCCAGAGCGTAAATCCATATCTATACAAGCTCCAACTCAAATTCACTTTTTCCCCCAACTCTTTTTCCCTGATTTTGGTTTCTCGGCTTTCGTTTCCAGGTATCTTCGTCGTCGTTGGACGTTGGAGTAGTGCCCGACGGGAACAGCAACGCGATCTCGGATATAACGAATCCGTTCGGACGGAAAGGCGGAGTGGATGCGGGCGGGGGGAATCACGGAGCTCCGCAGTTGTCGGGGATGGACCGTGAAGCAAGGGTTTTGAGGTACAGAGAAAAGAGGAAGAACAGAAAATTCGAGAAGACGATTCGGTACGCCTCGAGGAAAGCCTACGCTGAGACGCGGCCTAGGATCAAAGGTAGGTTTGCGAAACGGGTGGAGATCGATAGCGAAGTAGATCGAATCTACTCCTCCACCGCTGCTTTTATCGCTGATACTGGCTACGGTGTCGTCCCTTCGTTTTGATCGAAGGGCCATCAATCATGTCCTAAGATTACTTGTTAGAAACAGTTTTGATGCTGTTGTAGTTTGTATTGGTAATTAATTAATCAAATTAATTATCCCGTATAATATACTATGTGATTATCAGAACGTTTCATCGGTGGAATACTAACCGTCGATTTGCAGAATATATTGCATATGTTTTGTTCCTGACTCTGTGAGAAGCATGGTATAAAAGCCCATAGCTAAACCTTTCGCCCTTTCTTTATCTCTTTATGATCTGTTTCTGAAGCGCTATTCGTTCTTGGGTTGTTCCAAGTTCCAAGCCCTGGTTTATCTTTTAAGAGTTGAGGTTTTGCTGGGACCTGGGAGTATAATAATATAATATTTTGTTCGAATTCAACGCTGTTTGATGGTTTATGGGGTATTATATGACAACGATGTATCTACCGTTGATTAGGATTCTATTCGCCATTTGAGAAACAGGCAAAAAGATTCCAATCCAATTGCTCCTTGCTAAATAACAATATTTCTACGATAAAGAATGCTTTTTTGTATTGCCAGTTGCACAAGAGTACAAGATATGTGTCTCCGAGATACATGCAGGGAAAGAAAGGATCTGCAAGATTAAAGATGCTGGTCTGATGGGTTGCACGCTTATATTTACTATCGAACATGTTGTGTCTCAAAGAACCAGACAGCAAACCCAAAAATGGGTCAATTTGGTTCAGACGGATTAGCAAACTTTAGTCGAGTAGATCAGAGTTGAACAGTTATTGAAGCGCAGATAGTTAACACTCTTCTGGTTTGAATTGTACCGAAAAGAAAATTGGTCTTGCTATGTTTTGGTTCAACATGAAAGTGGCACGAGGCTTAGTCCGGTTCAACCTGGTTTACCACCTAATTGAGCCTATAGGTTGCTGTTCAGGTGTCAAGGTCAAAAACCGGTTTGAATGAATCATCGATCATCAGTGTCAGACTGTCAGTGACGTGAGACTTGAACCGAACCGGAACCAGTGACCTTTCTGACTTCCGGTTAAATGACGGTTTTCATAAATTGAATGGGCAAATCATCCGATTAATCAAAAATAAAACCGTGACTATATATATATATATAGATAAATGCGTTTTAACTGTGGATGGAATCTTTTAAGTGGAGAGTACGTGGTCACAGTCTCACAGACTTTTGAACGCGAAGAAGTGAGGGAGTCCTTGTACAAGGAATGGATTTGGCCAATTGGGTAACCTTAGTTCAAGGAATAGATGCCAATCTAGGAGAGAATAAAATTGCAAAGAAATTGACCCACCAGATTTTCTCACTTTATTTAACAACAAAGTCTGTGAAAAATAGCTAAAAAGCCCAAAAGGTTTTCTTTTCTATTCTTTTTTTTTTTATTATTCTAATCAGATTGTGTATCTGAAAAGCAGTTTACTGATTGAGTCAATCAGAAAAAGAAGTCCTTAGATCTAACACTGTAACCCACATAGGAATCTTCTCTATGGCAGCATGATTGGGGCCCAAAAGCAGAAGGACCTCGTGTGCCCTCAAAATTCTCTCCATTCACGGTCTGCTCCAACATGTCCTCTCCAATGTAAGGAACCTTTTTTCTTCCCCAATCTGATCTCAATCCGATTGTCAGGACCAAGTGACTAACAATTGAAGGTTCAGGCTATACCTGCGCTCAGAGGACACAAGTTGCTTGGTTATACCGATGGGTCTTCCCCATCTCTTTTCGAAATCTGCACCAAGTGGAAACAGTGGCCAACAACAATTGAATCCAAACCGAGTTTAATTTTGCTACGACACTGCCGTATCGCTGGGCTAAAGCAGAAAAGTCATGGCCTCGGATAGTTAGATGTATTGCAGTGGCTCACCAAGAAGTGGGTCAAGTGGGGTCATGACAATAAGTTAAAGGTTTTGATTTAATTGTTTCAGCCTTAGGCTACAACACTATCGTAATAAATATGGGTTGATCCAAACCATGCTTTATGGATTGAACCAGATAAACTGATCTTTAGTTGACTTCTTTCAACCCTTACATAACTAGTTTTGTCATAAGTTGTTGGGCATGAATTTAGGGGTGTCAATTAGATCAGATTTAGTCCAACCCGATTCAGTCCAATGTGAATTCATTATAAATGGACCAGATTCAATTCAATTTAATGAATATTTTGGACTGATTCAATTCAATGATCGGACCATTTAATCGTCGTTTTGATTTAGCTTAGTTTTAACTCAAACTCAGTCCATTGACACCCATATTCTTATCTTATATCAATGGATGAGATGTTGATTTAATCCAACCCAATCTTCAATATAAAGACCACGCCCAATCCAATCCAACAAATATTTTGGATCAGATTGGTCCAATCCAAATATATCTTGTTAGTTCATTCAGTCCAATCCAATAAATATATTAGAAACCGGTCCATTGACACGCTTAGGGTGATGCCTCAAAAGATACCTGGGGTTGCCTCAACAGACTGTTTTCTTTAGTAAGCAAGTCCAAGAGTACCTGATCTTAAACTTGAATTGGCTCATCTCAATAAGGGAAATCGATCTTATCATTGCTGACTACATATAGAAAGTAAAGAGCCTCTCTGGTGCCTTAGCTGCCTCAAATTATTTTGTATCTGACTCAGATCTTATACACTATATACTTGGAGGTAAAGGTGTCAGTGGACCGGTTTTGGATTGGACCCATCCAGTCCAAAATCAATTTGAACAGATTGGACAGACCAATAAGACATATTGGATTGGATTAATCCAGTCCAAAATATTTATTAGATTAGATTAGATCCGGTCCGTTCGTATAAATTTATATTGGGTTGGGTTGGATTAAACTAATATCTGATCTATTGATATAAGATAAGAATATATGTGTCAATGTACTGAGTTTTGATTGAAACCAATCTAAATCAAAATGAATTTAAACAGATTGAACGCTTCAACATTGAATTGGACCGGTCCAAATTGGTCCAAAACATTTATTGGATTGGATTGGACTTAGCCCATTTATAATGGATTCACATTGGACTGGATCGGATTAGACCAAATCCAATCCAATTGACACCCCTACTTGGAGGGCTCCCTCATAAGTATGACACATTCATCATATCTGTTAGTTCTTGTCTGGATGATCTCACTTTGCTTTTGCTTGATGCACAAAGCTTACTTCTCACGTTTGAGAATAGATTAGAACGACATCACCGATGCTCCCTTAGCACATACATGTTGCTAGTTGCAAGAAGGAAATCAACAATTAATCACTACTAGCTTAATTATTCATCAAATAAACCACATCAATAGACTCCTGGCGCAGGAGTACACCGACAATAACTCATCAAACGACGTGGCTACAATGGCCACTTTGTGGCCACCTGCAAAAGGTATCTTGTGTTACTTGGAAATTAACAAGGGGAAGCCTACACAAGCAGTACTTCTCGTTCTTGAGTTCAGATCTATACCCTATAAAGGGGCGCCCTACAACGTCTCACAGACTGAAAATAGGGAGAATGACCAATCAGCCCAGATCAGAATTTTATAGCCCCAAAGTACAGGGGGAATGCATCCTGACCGTGAATTGATGCCAAATTCAAGGATAGGATATGATTTATAGGGGAAAAGGGCTAGTAGTAGGGGGGGGGGGCTGGAATTCAGGATTCTGCATCGGTTGTATCCGTACTTCTCCGTTGAAAATATCGATAATAACATCATCTTTTCTGACACTATTATCGGTAAATGTTCCCAATACACAAAGATGATGGGATGTGGGACGTTGTAGGGCACAAGTCACTTGACACCTGATCTCAGTAGCTTGTCCATTCATGACAACTACCATGGGTTAGATCAGATCTGTCGGTAGGGGTGCTTCTGTTTGAATTTCACATGTTGGATCTTCTATGTATCTTAAATACTTCATCAACTGGTTCTTTTCTCTTAAAGAATAGACGTACTGAGTCTTAAATAGAACTAAGAATCTGCTTTTAGTTAGTTTTGAAGAGAAAATTGATGTAGCGCAAACCGGTCACTTCTAGCTGGCGGTGGCTTGGTTCTTAGCTGGCGAAAGAGAGCACCTGAAATGGAGAAGACAATGAAGGATTCATGGGGAGTTTGCTTGGCGGGAACACTCCGACGATCAGTTTAAAACTCTGAGAGAGAATTGCAAAAAATGCAAGGAGAGCTAAGAGTGCAGATAGCGCAAAATCAAAATTGCCCTTTCTCTCAGGGGGTTGGAGTCCTTATATAATGGTGTTCTGTCAAATCTGACATAATCACCTCACACCACCTGGCGAGAGACGTGGGTGCAAGGCCCCGGGTTTGACAGGTACGATTGTTAGGGAAGATCTTCCTGTGATACGCCGAGCTGTCTTCCTTCGAGCTACCTTGCACCGAGCTACCCTATGCCGAGCTAGARGTGCCATACTGAGGTTATTCTACCCGAGGCGGTCTACTTAGGCCTGTCGGAACAAATGTTAGGAGGCTCCCGAGTTCACCCCGAAGTGCCTTGAGCTCGGGAGATCCCTGTCTTGTAGTACCCTGGCTTGGGATGCCTGTAGAAAAATCTTAGCTCGGGGTGTTCCCTTCTTAAGGAGGGGCTCGGGTGCTCCCTTACCGCGGAGAAGCTCGGGGGCTCCTTTACTTGGGAGGAGCTCAGGAGCTCCCTTATTGTGGAGGAGCTCGGGGGCTCCTTTGCTTGGGAGAAGCTCGGGATAATCGAAGTGTTACCCGATGCCGAGCTGCCACGTTGGATCTTGGTGGACTGATCGCCTTGAACTGTCACTTATGTTGAATCACGCCCACGTGTCCCCCTAAGATGAGGTTGGGGCAAATCACCCTTCATAAAAAATGATGCCACTTTTTTCTTTGAACTTTGTTGGTTTCTATGTCAAAAGACAATGCTATGGGAAGAACTCTTTTTCAAGGTCTGGTTAGAAACGAACTCTATCAGCTGCATTTAGATATAATAGTACTAATAGAGGAGGTGGTTTTACAGATACGGTTGGTGATCACACATCAAAACAAACCTAGTACTTATGGCATGGACATCCCAATGTAAAGATCACCTCTCATGTTATTTCTTGATTTAGCTAGGCTGCCACTTATCTTCATCATCATTTTTTTTTTCGACGCTATTGTCTTATTATGGGAAAAGATTCATAGGCCGCGTTTGGCAAGTCTTTTAGTGTGGGTTTTGGGCTGTTTAAAA